GTGATTCAGAAGTCACCATTTCTGAGATTGATTGTCTTATTAGTGATCCACAGTAATTTTCTGAGACTCTGAATAACCGTTTCGTTAGCATTGGTCAAACTACAAATTCAATCCTTAAAGGTCTGACTGAGAATTCAACAAAAACCGAATTAATAAGATTCTTTAAAGAGCATTCAAGCATAAAAACAATCAACAACTCCCTAACAAATAACTCAACCTTAAGCTTTAAACCGATCACCAAAGAAAGCCTAAGACAAATAATTGTGAAGCTAAATCACAAAAAGGCACACGGGCACCCGGGCACGACATGATAAATGCAAAATTCCTAAAGATCTCAGTCCTACAGCTACTCTTGAACATCATAAATAAACGAATTTTTCAAAGAACATTTCCAAAATTTTTTCAAAAAAGCTGAACTTTCACCTGTTTATAATTAAACAGATTCTTTCGATAAGAAAAATTATGGACAAATAAGTCTACTCACAACACTTTCCAAGGTACTTGAAAAAGTCATTAAGCTTCAACTTTCTCTGATTTTTGACAAACAATTTTGGAAATTCGTATGCGCAAATAGAAACACTTTTCTCTTTTTAGGCTGATTGAGGATCGGAAAACAGAACTGGAAAGGTTTAAACATATTGGTGCTGTCAGTATTATGGATTTATCAAAAGCCCTTAACTGTCTACCAAAAAAAACCTACTTTTAGCAAAACTACATGCCTGTAGTGTAGATAGAAATTATCATTTTCCTTCTCCTCTGGCGCCACAAAATCTGTTTAATAAAAAGCAATGAGTCAAAGTGAAAGGCCATTACAGCTCCTGGGGTAATTCTGGACAAGGGATGCCACATGGATCAATACTTGGACCCCTACTTTTCAACAACTTCCTAAACGATTTTTTTACAGTCCAGTGAAGCGTCTTTGTGTAATTTTGCTGATGACAACACGATATCTGTCACTGGAGCAAATATTGATGAACTATTGCAACTTGTAAAAATTTATCTTAAAAATGTCTTGATTGGTTTAATAAATGTGATATGATTGCAAATCTTACGATATTTCAAGCTATAACAATCATCAGTGAAGACAAATGCAAATTGATAAAGAATTTGCAATTTAATAGAGAAAAACGTTACTTTGCTTGATGTTCAGATCAATAAAAATTCAAAGTTCGATGCTCATATCGATAAGATCTGTAAAAAAAGCAACTAAATTAGATTTTCTGAAAAAATACCAAGATCTATCGGCGGCAGAGAGAAAAAATAATTATGAATTCACTCATACTACGTCACTTCAATAATTGTCAATTGATATGGATGCTATGTGGTAAAGGAAGTCAGGATAAGTTAGGAAAAATTAACAATAGGGCGTTAAGACTAGCCTATTCGGACTATTCATCTTCGTACTGATGATGATATCAGATCATTAAGTTTTCAAGGGCCTAATGCTCAGAATCTCTTACTTGGACCGAGTTTCGAATGAGGAAGTTTTGAGAAGAGCAGGGTTAAAGAAAAACCTTTTTTAAAATATTTGGAAAGGGCAGGCAAGCTTATTTGGGCATGTAATGCGGAGAGGAAAGCTGGAACACCTAGCTGCAACAGGAAGGATTGAAGAAAGAAGGAGTAGAGGAAGGCAGCAAGAGGAAATCACCGGCTGTCTCAGTCGTTGGTTGGGAAAAGCGCCCAACGAAATGATTCATGCCGTCAGGGATAGGGCAGGGACAGTTTCCGTGCCATGGTAGCCGACGCTCTGAAGCATGGCACCTAGAAGAAGAAGATTGAACAATGCAGCAGAAGCTGAAAGTAAATTTGGCGACAAGAAAGTGGTAGCTGTATATTGTGTTCGGTGGAAATTCAAAGGGAAATTTCTAGATCCGCCCAGAAGGATATGTCACCAGGCTTTCTCTTCTCAAATTTCCCACCAGCAGAGTTGTCAAGTGAGAATACTAGGGGAAATTATTATGGGCATTCCGCCACCCGAGCCCAAATTTGACAAGGTTGGGGGGAACAGCCAAGAACGTATGGACGGCAGGATATTATGGGACCGTTTAGTAGTGTTGGACAATTTGAGACACATAGTAGATAGACAGAAATTATTGGACAACCAGGAAATAGCAGGTATCTGCAATCAAGCTATAACCCCTATGCAGGTAGCATGGAACAACGTGAAAGGGAGAACAGCTTCAGAATGCAAAATATGGTGAAACTGCCGAAATTAGGGTTAAAACGTTTCAATGGAGACCCAATGAAGTGGCTAGAGTTCTGGGAAAACTTTCAAAGAAATATCCATATCATATGTAAAAAGGTATTCGGTAGTGTCAATGTACTCGCGATCAAACTTTCATCCCCTGCTCTGAGCCTATCAGCCAGGGCTTTAGATGTATTATCAGCATGTTTTGCCGATGATAATAATGACTTCCCCTAATCAAAAGTGATAAATGAACATAAAAAATGATTAAATAAAAATGGCCGACAAAAAATTTAGAAAAGTTCCTTATACCTAGCGTAATTGTGATGAAGGGACCCAAAATTTGGTTCGTAATATCAAGAGTTCGTTAGATCCGGGGTTTGTTATACTAAAAGAATTTGCAAGGAGTTTGTTAGGCAGAATCCAAGGGACCAGACAGTTACTTCATTATACCGAATTTTGTACTTTCTTTTACTGCCGAATCTGCGAACACAAGCCTGTAAAACCCTCGTAAATTCAGTGGTTTTACACTAAAGCCCTCCCACTTTTTGCAATAACAGGTTAGAAAATTTCTAGATGTTAACTCTAGCGCAACTTTGGAAAAGTTTACTTTAACGGATCCTGAGAAGTAGCAGTTCTTCTTGGCTGGGAACTCTTTTTGTTCATTTTTTTGGCGTCTTATCTTGTTAATCTATTTCATAGTAACTATTATCTTCTCTGAATAAGTGGAAAGAAGCAAGTAGTTTCTAAAAGGGGCGTTTTCCAGCGCTTGAAAGGGTGTGACCTCACAAAATTTTCTGTCACACCCTTCTCAGCTCACCCACTTTTAGACTGGTGCGCGGCGCAGTGCCTGAAACAGACCCCTGCGAAAGAGATGCGTGGAATTTGAGCAGGACCGCCGAGAAGGGGATATGAAAGGCCAAACTGCCCCAGAGTCTCGAGGTCTAGGGGGTCTCTTAAAGAAAGGAATTCAAATCTAAGAACTGAACTTTAACGAAATTTAAAAAATATGCCTAAAAAACATTCTGCAATGTTGTTAAAACTAATTTGAAGGGCATAGCCTCAAAATTTTCTGCTCGCTTCGCTCGCCGTGCACGTAAGTGCTCTGTCACGTTTGTGTTGCTGTAAAGTATGTACTTCGGTCTGGATTTGTTCCACATTTTTGGACTATGGTTAAAGAAAAACGGGATACACCCCAACAAATAGAGCAGATTAACCTTTGAAAGTGATAAAAACTGGCGTCTTTATAATTTTTCGTTGGTGCATTGTTTCCAGGTAAGACCATTTTTGGCGACCTGTCGTCAGAGCCCGGAGAGGATTTATGGGCCCCGGGTCAGGACGAATAGATAAATGGTAAAACTTGTCTAAGGCATATGTTTCTAGGCGCATGGGGAATGCTCCCCCAGGAATTTTTGAAAATGATGGTTGCTTAAATTGCCATGGTGGCTATTTTGGTTCCTATAATTGCCATGGCGGCTATTTTGGTTGCTAAAGTTGCAACGGTGACTAAACTGCTCTGGGGGCAGTGGCGTAGATAGAACGGGATCAGAAGGGGCAAAAACCCCCCTGTAAAGCTAAATTGCTATTTTGTCGGAAATCCTCTGGTCTTGTCAGAAATTTAACATGGTTGTCTATGTTTCTTCAATTGCTATGTTTTGATAGGAAAGAATTTAAAGTTGAATAAACATATGGATATCAGAATATATCAAAACGTTTATTTATTTCTGTTCCGATGTCGTTATGTTTTGTTAAAATTTATGAAAATAGTATTAATGCTTGTTAAATTTTTGTCGAAAAATCAAAGTTTCTCACCCCTTCTATGAATTTTCCTATCTAAGCCATTGTCTGGTGGCTTTAACTTCTGCTTCTATTTTCTATAATTTAAGCATAACTGATATTTAAACACCATAATGCATAAAAATGAAAATTTCTTAGAAACTTTAAAGTCTTAGAAAATGGAAAATGATTAATTTGTTAACTAATTTATCACAAGCGACACACTGTTGCAAATAGATGCGCATGCAATAGTGTAAATCTGTATAGCATGCATGTTGCTGTAGGTTGTCTGTTGCAATCACATTTTTCGGCAACATTCAGAAGCTTTTCAACTTCTTTAGCCCAAGCTCACAAAGATGAGAAATCATTAACAAAAATATTTTTAGCACTCAGGTAATGAAAGACTCAAACTGCTTCTACCTTACTTTATTCATAGACTTTTGCATTATTGTCTTTATTCATGACAGCTTGTGGTAATGGAGAGGCTGGATTATTAATTAGAAATTTTTTAAATTGAGTCATAATTTATGGGCCCCTATAGCCAAGGGGCCCTTTATGGGCCCTACAGTGACACCCCTGACCCCCACTCTCCTCAGCACTGCCTGTGGTTTGTGATTGGAAATGAAGAGTGGCTTCCCGATGACAATCTTCTCCCGGCCCCTGCCTGATATAGTTTTGTCCAACTGGGCCCAGTGGCAGCGTCAGCTATTACAGAGTGAGAGGGTAATGGGCGTGGTCAGTATGACCACGCCCATTTTGCCTCGTTCCAGTGATTCGTCCCTTTCCTTGGGAAATTCGATCTAACCCTACCCAGGGCTTTTTAATCCATTTTTAGAAGAAATATATAGACTATATTTTTAGAAAAGTGGGGAGGTAATTACCCCCCCATACCACGCCTTTGCGCCGCCACTGACTGGGCCCAATCAGTTGTCTCGCCGAATGCAAAAAAATTGACCCTTCTTCTTGGTCTGATTGTGCTTTTCCTTTTCTTCTTGGTTCCGGATTTTCCCAAACCATGCGACAATGACAGCAATTGACGCATGCGTATAGAGGTGAACTATGATGGCCAAGGTTTCGAGAACTTCCCTCCATTGCGGAATTAAAGTGTCAATCAGCTTTTGCTGATGATGAAATTCCATAAATGACAGTGATTTCGATGCGAAAAATGATTCAGTTGCAGTACCAAGGTTCAGTTGTTGAATTGGCTTTTCCACTGGATGTGGTTTCGTAGAGTTAAGAGGTGGTCTCCCTTGCAAGCAGGTATCAGTATCTTTTCATTTCTTATTATTGAGATACAGATGAACGCCCGATTTTTTTATTGATTATTGCACATATTGTCAGATAAGCAATTTTTAAATTGGTATAACTAAAAAGCGAAACTTATTTTTCAATGATGCTGATATTTATATTTTAATCAAAGCAATATCATTTTCGTACAATGTCATTTTAAAGCCTGGTTCATAGTTTTGAACTTATTAGCGTACGCTAAACTCCGCACAACTTTGAAGCGTACGCCTTTTCATCTTGCATATCCAAAGAGCGTAAACACGTACGTTTTCCGCATGTCCATGCGGGAAGCTTGAAACGATACGCCATAAGCTTTTTCGGTTCATAGTTTCCAGACATGCCGTCGAGAAATGTTCCTCTTGGCCTTCTACTTGTACGGAGAAAAAATAAAAAGAACAGCAAACATGCTGGTATATTTTACCTACAAATACTTTACGAACCGTTTGCGGGGATTGTGCCGCGTTTGATGTCAATGATTCCGGTATAAATAGCCATTTTTCTTGCTCCTGTCCAATAATTTAATATTTGTCCCGATTTCTTACCCTGGGTTCCAGACCGACGGTTCTCTAGCAAGGAATCATACATGTGGGCGTATTTGTGTATCTCTTCACAAAGTTTTCCTTCAAAATCGGCCATTGCTAAGAAATTTTCCGTACGGAAGGCAAAAAAAGTTGAAGATTTCTCAACTCGATAAGTTCAAGGCATACGGGTTTGCGGAAAACAGAATAAACTTCCGTACGCAAGACCTATGCCTCTGATAAGGCGTACGGTTAAAAGTTTTGATGTAATGCATCGACTATGAACTGGGCTTAAGCCTGTGATACATTACAAAGTTCACTTCCTATTTCGACTTCCTCGGTGTTGTTTTGCTTGCTGTTTTTTTTTAAAAAAACTTATTGGCTCATTGAGTATAATCACCTATTCCATATAACTTTGAAATTAATTCTCAATCCTTTACTCTTTGGATATTTTGATCTCTTTGTAATTTTGACATGAAGTATCAATGAATTATTATTGAAAATTGTCAGAAAAAGTTTCTTTTTTGTTTTAAAGTATTAGTAGATCCTATACAGGCTATACAATGATAAATTTTGCTTTAAAGTTTTGTGAACATATATCGTTGCCGTCAGGGGTGGACACTTGGTCAAATATTAGGGGGCAAGCCTATTGTCTTAATAAGATGACATCACATTTCCCATTGTTTTAGAACACAAGACCACTGTCCTTTAAAGTATTGGGGGGTGTCCCCCCTCCCCCCAAGTGTCCGTCACACCCATTCTTACAAAGAAAATGTATTTTGTGAAATCTCAGCTGAGCCAATTCACCCCTTCAGGTTGCAGGCTTTGTTCTTCTGTGGAAAAGTTGTGGTTGGCAAAAGTCACCCAAAAGCAGGTCTTTGGCTCAATAATGATTAAGACTGCTCAAACTATTGTTTAATCTAAGACTTGTACCCTGTTAGCATGAGCCTTGCTCTTGATTAGCTCTAGAGTGGGTCAAAGTAACTTTGTTTTACCAAGCCTTTTACATTCTTTTTCCAGGTGTGTTAATTTTTTTCTATCTCAATAATACTCCTGAATTAAAAAAGAAAAGGTTTTAGCTACTTATTAAATCCTTTTTAGACTTACCAATTCAAAACAGATGGCTCAATTGAATAATAGTAACTTGGAAGGTAAGAATTTGGCATTTCTGATTTCATTCCTTTTATGTAAACAGTCTTCATAGCCTGTTTACAATTATTTGCTACAGGGATTGATAGTGTGAATTTGTTGCACTGTACACAATAGAAGATCATGTTATCTTTTGACAAGTTCGACCCTACAGCTTCCAAGTAGTTTTCTGCCCTTGTTTTCGTAGTTCTTGGCAGTCAGTTTAATTTGCAGTTTTTGTTTCCACTCTACAATAATATCACATTACAAAATGCATCACAGCCCTGACTTTTGCAGGACTAAGCCTCTTAGTGTGCCCTCTGATTCTGTCACCAAAATAGATGTTGAGAAGCTCTAATCTTTGGTAGTTACTTTTTGTCTTCTCAATTTTAAGAAATGGAGACTTTATGAAAATTAGGACTCAATCATAAAATGTGCACGAAGATTGTTCTGCATCTTTATATGTACAAGGAGCAGTGGTAGTTATCTTAGCTGTTGCTCGTCACTGCCCATAAACTAGACTGGTATCCACTGTAAAACTAGCTGCACTTTTGTATGTTCTTAATGTAACAACTAGTGGTAATCATGGTGTCATTGAGGTAATTGTGATTCCCTTGCAGTGTTTGTGAATTATCTTGTGTTTGTTAGTTTTATATTGAATAGTTTGTAATAAGAAAAATTGTTGATTTTTTGTATGTGTTTACAGGAGCATCAATCAACATAAACAACAGTAAGGTTATTTTTGGGGATGATGCTACAATTGTAGGTAAGTTACTATCATGGTTCAACATCCAGCTTGATTTTGTAGAATATAAATATGAATTGTCATTAACGTTGTTTGATCATCAAAGTTTTGTTCAATGATATCATTGATAAATTTAGCACATGTAAACTTTTTGCAAGGCATTATATAAATTTCTGATAATGGTTAATGATGATATAGTTTATCAGGTAATGTGTTTCTAACATAAGTATTAGATCTTTGCATAGAAATGTTTTCCATACAATTCTAAACTGGGCCTAGAATGGATTGTTAGATGGAATTCTATTCTATCATTGATTGATTAATTTTGAAAATTGTTTGATCTGTTCATTTTCTGCTGTCTTAATTTGATTCTTTTTATCAACTGTCAAAAGTCAATGTATGTAGAACTCTTATTTGAGCATCAGCGTAAGAGACTTCCACCAATAAGAAGATTTTTGGATAGTTAAGTGATTCACAGGACAGTCTTAAGATTGTTCAAGCAATATTCTTCAAGTATTGTGAATTCAAGCATTATTGTGAATTTATTTGTTTCTTTATTTTTTCTTTTCAGATGTATCAAATGACACAGACCATTGCACTGGTACACTTTTGATTATTTCTTTTATTATAGTATTATAGGTCAGCTCTGTAAAATTGCCACAATCCCTGCCAAAAGTCCTTGGCATGCCTAGTGTTGTTTTGAGGATAATAACTACGTCTGGTAAAATTGACCAATGCAGCATCCAGTGTTGGCTGTAGAGTTAAAGTTCGTAGCTATATGTTTTGAAACCTTTTGCAGTACAAAATTTGAAAAAAGGCTTTGAAAAGAAGTAAATATTTGACAATATACTAAAAGTTTTTTCCTCTGGCTTTGGCAATTCTCGAGAGTATAAAACATCAGAAGAAGGGTCTGAAAGAACTAGATGAAAAGTTATATCTAGTTGTGGATCGAACTTGGGAAATCAGAAAAATGCATGCACAAAACCTGTATTGTTGTCCAATCAGTACCGGATGACCAATCGTAATCAGTGTCTAATTGGTGAATTTTCTATAGGCATGTGTTGCTCATCAGACAACTACATCGTTCATGTGCTTGCCAGGGGAGCAGTTCAAATAACTTTTTTGGGGGAAAGTCAGGACAAGTTGGACCGACTCTTCAAAAAGAATCTATGCAGATAAACAAAAAGGAAATCTACAAAGACTTTGTTTGAGGAAATGACTCGCTGTCATTTTGTACTGTGTGCTTAAGATGATCTTTTTTAAAACCATGTACGTGCCAAAAGTAAAAATCTTCTTCAGAGGACACAGCACTGAAGGGGCACAAAAACATGGTCAAAGGATGCATTGAACTAGGTGGCAGGGCCGTTGCGAGGCAAGCCTTGTTGGAGGGGGTGTGGACTACAAATTTACCTGATTAAAAATTTTTTGCCTGAAATTCTTTAGTTGCTGTCACAAACCTCTGCAATACATTTTGTCAATCTAACTCTGTATATAATTTGCAACTTTCATATTTATATGATAATAACAGACTTTCCTAATAGTTTTGTCAAATCTCTATTTCGGGATGGACAAGGATCCTTAAGATCCTTTAGAAGAAGAAAATAGTAGCAGCATGTTGTACTGTTATTAATGTTGTTGTGCTAGGTGTTTTTAAAATGTCCCTGTCTTGTGCTGTTTAGGGTCTTTCCATTGTTCACAAGAGTCGCTCTTTCAATTTTGGTGACCGTCTCTTTCAAGTCCAAATTTTTCCACTTGCCTCATGTCCTTGCTTTGGCCATTACATCTATTTTGCTAACTCTTGCGTACGAGGAAACTGCCCTCATCAGTGTGATGCCTTTTTGGGCTTTACTGATTATATGCATAGATGTAGATGTAGATGAAGAAGATAGAAAATAGCTTGTCTTATTCTACAATATCAATTGAGACATCGATATAGTTACTACCCAAGGCGGCACCATGGTTACCGCCGAAGGAACAGGAATTTTGATGCTTCTAGTTCCCTTGAAAATGCACTCTTTTAAGCACATTTCACTAAAGCAATCCTCCTAGTCCTATTGAAAATTATTTTTTGCAAACAAATTGAACAGCAGATAAAAACAACTGGTAGAATTTCGCTGTGGTCTTTAAAAATATCATGTTGTCAGTTACTTCTAAAGCTAGGTAACAAGCAGCACTGGTTGTCAGTTAAGATCCCTCTTTCCATCTTAGCATGCCTTTTGAATGTCAAAAAAATCTGGAGCTCATAGTGAATTGCAGTTGATGCTTCTACCGAGAAACTTAGAGGAAATGGACACAAGACACAATTTTTCCTAAAAAGGGTCTGGGTTTTTAGATGTAGTGTCAACAAGAAATCTTCAAATCTTCAAATCATTAGTTTGTTTACCTTCATTCATATCAAGGAATATCATATTTAACCAACAAAGCAACTACCTTTGCTTGATCCTTTATTGATTTTATGACACGAAGGTCCCTGAAATACCTAAAGCGTTTCTTCCACCCAGCGGATTTTACCTGAAATTTCCTATTGAGATACTATTGGGAGGGGTGTGAACCCCCCTGCTAGGTGGGGTCTGGGGGCGTGCTCTCCCATAAAAGTTTCAATTTTAAGGCATCTTATTTTTCTCTTATGGCCCCCTAGAAACCTATTTACGATTTTCCCATCCTACTATAGTCCTACTCTTTTCTCAATTCACTTTCACGAACGAAGGTCCATCAGACAACAAGAAATGATGCTAAAACAAAGGGCATGCAATGTTTAATCTTAATGAAGCTACCTTTTATGATGTTTTTCAAAAAGTATAAATTAGATTGATGATTATATACTATACATTGACTTCATGTTTTTCAAGAAGTAGATATTCTAGGTTTCTTCTTGAAGGAACTTCATTGAGTTTGAAAAGAAAGTAGATTGGGCATAATTCTCTTAACAGTTGTTTGCGTGTTATTTGGTTTTATCGTAATGTTTCCTGATAGTTTGATATCATATTCATTTCATTTATTCTTATTATCTTTTCTAGCACCCTTTGTTATTGTTATGCTAAATTCAAAGATATGTCCAAAATTTGAATTCAAACATTTTGGTTACGTGCTTCTTTCGAGCAAAACGTTAAAGGCACATTAAAATTCATCGTTTGATTTCTCATATGTTGAGGATAAGAATAACTTTCCAGTTATTTCGTGCCATACATCTATGTTTTCTGTGTTTTGCATTGATTAAACCTTAGGGAAAGATGACTACAATATTACTTATTGAAATTTTACCAGTGTTGCAGTTATCATCAAATCCTAAATGAAGTTTTTAACTGTTATAAACTTGAAGGTAATTATATGATTTGTCTGTTTTTTTCAGCTATTCAAGAACAGCTGCGAACAAGGTACCTCAATCATTACTCATCATGGACAATACCAAGAATAGATCCAGAAAAAGGATTTGTGTATAAACCAGAAGACAGAACTTCTTTTATGGTTGAGTTGACTCTTGTCAGTGAGCAATCTGCTGCTACCAGTCCGGTGAAACCAGCAAACGAGTTAAGTTATCACTTGCTTCAAAGAAGACACTCTTCATCACTACTTGATCTACCAGACATCATAGATCCCTCACTTAAATGCAGCTTGCTTTCAGGAATGGCAGGCATAGGAAAAACAAGTACGGTAGAAAATTTTGCATTATGCTGGGCAAAAAGGCAGCTAGGTTCTCTCGACTTTGATTTTGTATTTCTTTTTAACTGCCGTAATTTTATCCGGTACAAAAAAAAGCAAATCAACGCCGAAAAGCTTTTTCTTGAAGAATTCAACGTTAATTATAGAAATCTAAGTAATGTTGATGGTAGCAGAGTCTTGATTATTTTCGATGGGCTTGATGAGGTTGAGTCGCTCTCATCAGTCCTCAAAGATGTTGCTTCAGAAGATATTTACAATTTGTTCCGCGAAATGATGAAAGAAAAAAGCTCCATTTTCCCAGGGCACACAACACTACTTGTTGGAAGACCGCACGTCTTGTCAACATTGAAGCGTTTTCAAATGCTGACAGGGGCATTCAGAGTGGTTCAGATTCTTGGATTCACTAAGGCAGCCATACAGTCCTATGTTGGCAAATTTAGCTGTAATGACATTTTGTTGCAACAGCATATACTGGAGAAAATATTTGAGAATACCTCCATCAAGGCAATGGCACGAATTCCCCAGCTTCTCTGTAGCATCTGCTCAGTATATTCATGGGAAACCAAAGATCTCCAATTAGAGAAAAAAAGCGAATTGTTTTTATGGACCTTGTTGTCGTTCTTGAGGCATCAGTTTCCCCAATTCACAGGTTTGCCTCCGAATGAGCTGTTGTCACATGACGTAGTTAATTCCTTTATTTTGATTATTGCCAAGTTGTCTTACGAACTCCTGAAGGATAATCGTATCATATTCGAAAAAAAAGAAGTGAAGGAGCTGGAAACGGAAGATACTTTGCTAAAGAGCCTTCTTGAAACGTTTTTGGCACAGGTTGAAACCTTTGATAAATTTCCCCAGTACCAATTTAGACATTTAATTATTGAGGAATTCTTTGCGGCGATTCATTGCTTTGTATCGAACATAAGTGCTTGCAAATTGATGAATAAGGAATTTTACGAAATTACCGAATTTCTCGCTGGCCTTGTGCGAGGTAATGAAAGAAGTTCGAGCAGCATTGTATCGATATTTGCCAAGATTATCTTGAAAAATTATGGAGAGAGGCATAACAGTTTTCGGAAAAGAGCTGCATCGATTGGCAGGAAGAAGAAACAGCAATCAGTGGTCATGATTGCAGAGGAGGTATTTTTACAATGGAAACAGTGGAAAATTTCGTGTGATGTGTTCTGCAGTGTATTTTACGAGCTTTTTGATAAAGATGACACGTTACCTAAATGTATTCAATTCAATGATCAGTTTGACGTGCTGCTGTCCTCTCTCACATCACTACAGGTAGTCAGGCTCAATCACTTTTTGAAATGCATGAGCGGGAATGGCATTAGTGGATTTGAATCCTTGCGTAATTTGCGTCTATGTATAAGCAATACCGATTTCTCAGAAAGTGGAGAATTTTGCAATCTCTTCTGTTCACTAACTACGGTGAAAGACGTTCGTTTTGTGCAGTGTACATTTGGAGGCAAATCGCTTGAAATTCTTTGCCATGCGATTTTGACAAGCCAGCACCACTGCCCACTATCGGGTTTGAGTTTCCGGTATTGCAACTTGAGCAGTAACCAACTTTATGGCCTCACGAAATGTGCCTCATGTCTTGGAAAATTCTCTCTAGTGGGAGAGCTTGTCAGGCCTGATGTGACACAGCGTCTTGTCAATGAGATATTGCGTGCATTGTCAGGGTTTCGTTGCTGTATTAAAGAACTAGAACTACGTGACTGTAAGCTCAACGGCTTCTGCTTTGATGAAATTGGAAAGCTTCTACGTATTTTAGAGACTGTGAACCTTTCTGGTAATGTAGTCGGCAGGCTAACTGTCACTAACATCATACAGTTAGTGGGGCGACAAAAGAAACTCGAACCCATTACCCACAAGCTTAAAGCACTTGTACTGCGAAACTGCGGCATTGGTGATGAAGAATGGAAGGAAATACAGAAATTGGCGCATGCAAGCAGTGGAAGGAGCAAGATTTCTTTTGAAATTTAAGTTTTTTTATTGAGTGCGATTAGATTAAAGAAACTTGTTCCCCTTAGGTTGCGCTTTCCACGTATTACTTAGTTGTACGTAGCTGATAATTCACACGTTATTCCTTAATCATTTTGGGCAGCCTTGCAAAGAGCTTGTATCACCCCCATGGCTGAGACTCGTCTCTTGGTCACGGCAGGAAAATATCTTCCCAGCCACTTTAGTTGTATTGTGGCCCCCCAAAAAACTTACCTGTGTTGATCTTCGTTTGAAAAAGGAAAAGCAATTTTTAGGATTATTCAAATACAGCTTCTTACAAGCAGCGTCAAATCATATACTTTTTGCTCAAACCCCTTCGCTCTGGGTATTCAAGATGTTCCCCTTTCTTATGCACCCCCTAGCAAGCATTTTATTTGACCTGATTTTAATTTGTTGTAGAATCCTGCCCGAATTAAGTTCAAGGAATTGACAGGAAGCGACGAAAGTTTTGTATTTAAAGTATTTTTCCTTTTTTTGCGAATAAAATTGCTTTCTATTGCGGAATTTTCCTATGAATTGTTATAAAAATATTTGCTAGTATTTTATGCCCAGTAGTTGCTTAATGACTTGTCGCTGGCCTGACATACAAAGGTATATTTTTTTTGAATTTCTAACACATGAGTAAAGTTATTTTCCATATCTTTCTTTTTAATTGATGTATTTAGAGTTTGCTTATAAGCAGAATCAGGTGTAAAAAGTTAATGCGATATCGATCGTTCTTTATTTTGTAAAAGTTATTTCCTTTTTTGTAAATGTTGCGACATTCAAAGAATGAATCCACCTGTCCTGGCATGTAATTTTAGTAACAAAAATTATAGGTCATTGGCTTCAGTTATTTTGTAACTTTGATAAGTAACTAGGTTTGTGCTGCTTGTTTTTTCTAAGAAAATTTTGATCAAATAAATTGTGCTTTTAATAACACTAAGCATTTGTACTCTCTTTCAATCAAGAACATCGAGAGCGGAGAAGCGCCTGAACATTTGTTGATAATCTTTGTATTGTATTGTATTTTTTTGCTACCTTTCTCCCGAAGGTACTTTTAGGACACTGAGAGGCTATGCTTATCGAGCAATGTCCTGGTTCTTCCTCTCGATGTGACCACACCTCGTGATTCCTACGCCTGGAATTACAGAAAGCTGGCGATTTCCTCATTCTGAGAGAATATTTGGTTATTTCAGCGCCCTGACCCCTGAGCCATCTTCATACCCTAAGGCTACGTTCACACTGCTCCTTATTCGTTTCGCTCCGTTTTCGTTGAAGAAAACACTGTCCGTTCACACTTGTCCGTTTTTAAATTAATACGATTTTAATACGGTAAATGTTCACACTGCTCCAACAAAAACGCTGTTTGTGACCTCCTTTTTGAAAACAGGCGCTCACGAAACCTCAACAAGTTGGCGTTATTATGAATGAAATTGAAAAAAAGCAAACGTGGATAAATTTGTTGTAACAGCTACCAGGCTATTGTGAATACTCAATTCTCAAAATTTTAGAGATTTGGTGTTCTAGAAAGCAAGTATTTTGTTGCCATTGTTAATGTATTCAAATGTCTCCGTTTTTTATGTTCACACTGAAAACGGAGCGTATTCAATACGCACCGTATTCGAAAGTGACCGTTTTTATTTGTGTTTTCAAACGACTCCGTTTTCAATGCAGAGTAGTGTGAACGCAAGGCGAAAACGGATTAGTTTGACTCCGTTTTCATTTGAAATTGGAGTAGTGTGAACGGGCTCTGAATCTTATGCCACGCCCTAACCATGGTCCCCTGGCCCCCTGGCCCCCTGGCCCCCTTAGAAACAGCACTGAATTTGTTTCCTGTGATAAAAGGTTTTCGATGCTTAACGCGCTTTGTTTCATTTCCACTGAAAGTGTTTCGAGTTTGCGAATTCAATGCAATTCAGCAACCTCTTGCTAGTGCAACCTAAAAATGCAGCTAAATTGGCATTATGACAGCGCAAGGCAGCGCAACAAGCGTATGAATATAGGAAAATATTTAACCGATATCATACAGCATAATTAACTTGATTGCAGCAGGTTAACAAGAGAGGACAATGTTGTCCTAAATAACGCGCCGTTAAATTAGTTGTTGTCATGCAATTTTCTATTAATCGATTGAGACAAGAATTTTGAATTGGGCGAAGAAGTATTTTTAAGAAGAGTAGAGCTATCTAATTGTAACTGTCGATCATGGTTTTTTTAGAGTCGCCGTAAAAAATTTGAAGCTAGCAAGGGTGGTGAGGTCTCTCGGAAGATTATTCCATATACGAGCTCCCCGGTTTAGGTGCATTTTGTCACCCCATTTTCTGTTTGTCTTATAAACTTAGCAATTTGCTCGTTGGCGTGTATCATAATCCTACTTTCTTTCGTTTGTAATAAAATCATTGTGAAAAGTTTCATGTAAGATATTGTAACGGGTACGATGCGTGAAACAGATTATTTTGAATTCAAACAGGCCACTCATTTTAAGGAAGTTTGCTGCCTTGTGTTGCTTGGGCGTGGAATATCTCTGCTTTTGAAAACGGAGTTTATTTTTATCCTGCTTCCGAAAGTTACGTCTTCTGAATAACGCCTACGTGTTGCTTTGTCGCATCTTCGCGATGGTAACAACGAAAACAGTTTGCCTTCCTCCCAAATTATACCTTCCATTCCCCAACTCGCTTACCGAAATTTGCATCCCAGAAGGTATGCCATCGGGAAACCTTTCTTAATTTGATGGTAAAAATGGTTCAATATTGTGGGGTGTTGTTATTGCCAATGATAAAAATAATTTCTTTTTCAACAAAGAAGCTGTTTTAGTTGATAGAATGGTAGCAATATAGATTTGTTACTCGCTGCAGAAAGCAAAGAAAGTTAGAATTGTGAGAATACAGGCCTTTTTTGAAGCTATAGTCACAAATGGTCTGTTTTTCAAGTCGTTTATTTAACAGAAACCATTTTCTTCCGTTAATGAGTGGTTCTTTTTAACCATAGGTTTTGCGGTGCGATAAGAAAGTTAAGTAACTGCGTGGCTGTTGTTACACAACAATCCTAGAATGGCTGAACCACAGCGTGTCAAAGCAGTGTTACCCTTTGCACTGGAGTTGCATGGAAGGATCGATTCGATGCCTCGGTTTTTGTTCTCTGCTTAAGTATGTTACAGTGTTAAGCCTGGTTTCCATATCATCGTAAGCGTCCCAGCAGCATCGCCGATCCTCTGCTGGGACACGTCCCCGTCGCTTACGACGATATGGAAACCAGGCTTTACTGCTCTATTGAGCTCTAATTTATCGCTGGATGCCAAATTAAACATGCACTGATTAGAACGCATCACGTTTTACAATATGCTATTGTTAAATTCACCCAATGGGAATTAAAGGGACCACGGAACATTCCAATCCTAGGGACATTTAATCTCATTTCACCTTTTTTCGTGGCAGCCCCTCAAGTAATAAAATTCGATTAAGTACATAAGAAGTGAATACTAAAGAATAGGTCCAAAATAGTTCATGTATAATTTAGGGACATTTCATCTCATTTTACCTTTTTATTCGTGGTAGCCCCTCAAATAATAAACTTCGATTAAATACATAACAAGTAAATATTAAAGTCCAAAATAGCTCATGTATAATTAAACACAATTCAATCAACAATCAAGTATAAAAATAAAAAAAGACTAGGAATAAATAAGTTAAAATATATAAGCTTATAAAAACAGTTAACAATAGAATTGAAATCAATTTAAGAATATCTTTGTAATTTTTTGAGTTGACAAGAAACGTCTTGACAATGACAAGAAATGTTTGTATTGAGTTGTTGTTTTCAATTCGTTAGGTAGCGAGTTCCAGATTGCTGTTTCTCTGTACGCCATACAGTTTAAGCCATGCTTCAAACTAAGTTTTGGTGGCCTAATATTTGGAGGTGAGTTGCGTAAGTTTCTAATGGTCGCTGAAGAAAACTATTGCAGAAAGATTTCATAGATAAAGAAGTTGCAGTCAATAAACCAGGTCTGCAGTCTCATTACGAAGCATTTCCTTATTACTGCGCACATTAAATTGCCAAAGATGTGTTGTCGAAGCTGCCTTTGAAGACTGAAGGGCACTGTTCATGCACCTGTAACCTTTTTTTAGAGTCTATTTTTACAGAAGTTGTTTTTGCTACATCTTTATCCAGAGCATGTTAGACTTTTATCGCCTGTGTACATCGTGATTTTAATGTAAACAGCATGTTGTTGATATTAGGTAAGAAAATAAAGAACCTTAAGATTGCCAATGGGGTACCCCCCATCTTATATTCTTTATTGATGGAGGATCCCATTTTAATTTGCAGCATTGTTGCCGGTCATTTACATATAATTTAAACCGCTGACTGAAGTTCAGTGTTTCGGTAAACTTTATGCACCTGTTATATTCTCTTCCAAAAAGCGTGTACCGCTCTGCCTATATTTTATGGAATCGAGCGTTTTATGAAATTTTCATCAATTCTGATGGATGTATGATTTCATTAGACTTTCAGAGTTGCATTTAACGGTTGCTCTTTTTCTCTCAGCTTTGCAATTTCACTTTTACGCAATGCTGAAGAAATGCATGTTCCCAGAAAAATAGAGGAAAAACTCCAATCAAGAGTTTACGGCATCGTCTTACTTTTTATTATTACGGAAAAAATGTTCTAAGGTAAGGAAAATATTCTTACAGTTATTAGATTTTCCGAGTGCATGCTAATAATTGGGTGAGATATGGCCAATCAAAGATCTGAAGTTTGTTGACGGATTGCTTTTATTTTGGCCTGGTTTATAATGTTAGGAACAGAGGTCAAACCTATGCTTATGTAGATATATCTCAGCCAATTCTTAACACATTTTTATTGATTTTGAACGTATAGAGGTATTCTGTGCTCTTTCAGGTTATGCAGTCCGAATTCAAAAGTTCTAAGAAAGGTTTTTTGTAATGTTATCACTTGAGAACTCTATATCTTTAAACGTCGCTACGAAATGGCTTGATTTCATTACAAATAGACTCCGATGTATAAAAGAGGTCTATCATATCCTTTTTATTACCTTGTTGGTTACGATCGTTTCTTTTGTTATGAATGGGTCAGTATATGGATATGATATCTAAAGAAATGAGGTTATCTGCTGTACTAATGCTTAATTTATATCTAATACGTTATATCGATCGATAGAAATTGAGATCGTTTACAAGTTATTCATTTTATCGATATTGTTCAAAGTCAGTGCCGTTCATTTCAAGCAAGATATAGCTTATGAGTCTAAAGAGATTTGCCATCGAACTTTCTAAAGAGATTTGCCTAGTCGAGAGATAAATAAGAATGTTGAAGGATAACATTGATCTTATTGTTACATGACATAATATTGGTATTATTCTTAAAAGAAGCATAAAATGGTATGTGCGCTTGAAGGGAATAGTCTGGCAAGTTGACGTTTGCTAAGCTTTTTCATTCGTTTGCTTTCAGTAGCACTAAAGCCAATAACGACAGCAAAGAAGTTGTTCCTTGTATGCGAAAAAAGGGTTCCAGCTCCAATACACGACTTTGAGAATAACTTTGACCAAATTTTTTACCCTGCATAACTCTCTAATGCATGTGAAGAATCAACTCTAGAAAAACATTCTGCTGCATTCTAGATATAAAATGGCTCACAATCATTGCACTCGGACATTTACAAAAGGACCTTTGCACCTCTCAACAAAACAACTCGAGGCGTTGACCTGGACTTATTACTTTCTGTTTGTGAATGTAAAATGTCTGCAACAGAAGAGATAATTCAAATGCGGTCACTGAATGCGGTATTTATCCCTTTCCAGAAATAAAGGTGCGTTTCAGTAAGCTGACCAAAAGTTACGAATAAAATTATGCTTGCCCGTTCACATCCGTAAATTTTACATTGCAAATAGCTCGTTGATAGAAAATAAAAATTAACATCATCAAATATCATATTGATAAAAAGTTTTCCTTGCACACAGCAGAGTATGCTCTGATTTTTCATTACACTCTCTTTTTTTCAATAACTTGAGGCTCGAGTGTTTTTAATGAATCAACCGCATGATAAAAATCGTCTATGAGACCCGTTTTGCATAACGTTTTTAGTAGCACTGCTGATTAGCTTATAAGATATGCTCGGATTTGATAACATGAGAGCAAATAGAGTTCTCAAGTGTGACGTCACAAAAGAATATTTTTAGAATTTTCGAATTTTGACTACACACCATAAAATACTCCCATATATACAAAATCAGTTAAATCTTTCAAAAATGGGGTGAGCTATGACCAATAGAAAATTTGAATTTTGCTAACGGATTACTGTTATTTTGGCTCAGTTCATAAAGTTATGAACAAATTACAGAAGTTTGATAGGGCCAGAGCTTTGCTCATCTGGTTATCTATCAGCCAATTCGTAATACTTTTAACTGATTTTGCAGATTTAGAGGTATTATATAATGCTCTTTCAGGCTATGGAAAAATTTTTAAAAATTCTAAAAACATATTTTTGTGACGTCATCACTTAACAACTCTATGGTAAAAGTATATTGACATCTGTCTTCTAAACGTTTAATCTAAGGCAGGTTGTGCTCTGACGCTTTTACTTTTGGCAAATAGTAGCCTGCACGCAGAAAAAAACTGCGCGCAGGCTAGGCAAATAGAGGTTCGTTGTTCTTATTAAGTGTCTTATTATGAAGAAAGAGCGTTTGCGGCATTGACATGTGAAAGCCAGCCCCAAATAACCGCACACGAGTTAAATCATTGAGAGCTTCTTCAAAATCGACCAGAAAATTTATTGCACCACCAGAACAGTCATACTCTAGATTTTCGTGTTATCTTTCCTGGATTCCATTAACAGTGCGTTATTGTAGACTGGGCAAACAAGCAAGCAAACTAGCAGTCAGGGTTGTGGCAACTGTAAGATGATGTGGACCTGCGGCTTGTGCCCAAGGAATGATACTAGAACGAATACCCTGGACACGCGTTTACCCCGGCGGGCTCAGTCAGTTAGTCCAATGTATACCATATGTAATCTTGAAAGTAGAAACTAGACCCTTATCTCTGATTTTGGGTTGCATGGAATGTACCCTTTTCTCTGACTTACCAAAATTGTGTAACCATTTTCACTGAAAGTATTCAAGGTGAACATACTTTTGAAACCAATTCATGTAAGAGCCATTCAATTTCTTAAACTTATGCCGAAAGGCATATTAAAGAACAGAATTCATTCAATTTTATATTAACAACGATCCGTTATGTTTCTTGATATAAATTATGGCTACTTACATCTACTTGCATTATCAACCTAGCTAGTTATAGTCGGTGCTTCGTTAATAGTCCCCCCCCACACGGATTCCGTTTGGCAATAGCCAAATTTAGCACAAGAAGACAAAGAGCCATTGAGTTTGCTGTTTGTAGGTTGAAATGCTTCATTATTTCAACACATACATTACAAAATTATATAAAAAGTGCTATTTCTTAAAGCAATTGAAAGTGACCATTGGCTAACCTCTAAATATGATATCTAAATACGGCTGTTATATTGTAGAATGGTTAACATACTAAGATTAAATGTGTACAGGTCTCTCGTAAATAGCTGCATGCTGTACCCTTGGCAACAGGGCAACATCTCTTGATTCCTCTTCTCCTCTTTTCTATTTCCACGCCCTAGAATTTATGTGGCTCTGGTCCTAGGGTACAGCATAGATTCCGTATAGTAAAAGTTGTATACGCATTTGGTGCAAAATACAGGACGGTTTTTGTTGCTGCTCCCAGTTTCACCCTAAATGGAATCATCAGGCAACTTGATGAGATCATCAGTCAACAGTGGCCCAATGATCACATTAAGCGTCGTTCTCGTAGTTGCAACTTACCACCTTCCTGTTCTTTACACCAAAAGCGAATTCTTAACATTAACATTTTACTTTGAAGCAGTTTCTATCTAAAAATGCAGTAGAAAGCAGTTTTGCCTCCCAGCGTATGTAACAGTAAAATGGTAAAAAATACTAACATTTTAATTACGTAACATAGTAATGAAATTCCAGATATTGATAAAATATATATAAAATGGATGTTAACAGTTTCAAAAAGAGTGAACCAAGAACAAGAGGTCATTGCAGCGAATGTCCAAATTTTGTGTCATTGAAGTGCTTTGTAGGAGATCTAAAGGCCAACCCAAGCAGTCTCATAGCCCATGGCGGGGAAGGTGGCGGGGGGGGGGGGTCGAAAACAACTCTAATAGCAGGGTGTACAGGCGTTTATATTAGAACATTTTTGCAGATCACGCCCATAAGAATTCGGGAAAACGTCCATTTTTATAAATGTATTGGAAGTATGCTTTGCTGTCATTTCTACGTGCCATCTTTGTCAAAAACATTAACAGTCAATAGTTTTCGGTGGCTGGCTCTCTTCATTTCACAACTGGCAATTTGCTTCACAATTCACATTTTATATCATGAAGCGGGTCATGTGAGGAAACCGAAGCCGATTTTTCAAAACCTCAAGCAAACATTTAATGTAATATATTATACTCCAAAGTTGAGACGAAGTCCTTTCAAGTACGAGGAAAATCTGCGAAATCCTTTACAATTTTTTCGGTATCTAGTTTTTTAAAGATTTTGGCACAAGACTTTGGAGAGTCGCTTGTCCAAAAATTGATCAAAGTCAGTATTCTCATTTATTGAAACTGGATGCATGATTTTAAGTTTATGAAACGCACAAGCATTTATTTGTACTAAAGTTAATTCTGACTAATTCTGAAATAATTCTTGAAGAAGTTATCCACAAAGTCATTTGACCAAATGTCACTACACCACCGACCCCAGCCTACCATTAGACAAGCAATACATTGAGAATGCCTATGATAAAACTCAGGTTTACGACTATATAAACTCAATTATCTTATAAAAAATTTATGAAACATTTTTTTAGCTGAATTTGAAAGATTTTCTGCTTGTAACAGACTGCATTACCGCTGCCATATTAAACAGGGGCATCTACAAAGCACTTACGTATGTCCAAATTGCATTAATAACCTTGACCCTTTATTTTCCCCTTCACAGTCCCTCCCGTGCATTTTGTATGGGCGAGTCCTGTACGAATAATACCATACCTTTTGCGTACACCTTTCTTAGAGGTTTTGTGTTGTGCTAAAGAAAGAAAGAGGCTGCTCTCATAAACATTTTCCAATGCACAATTGTAAGAAGTAGAAAATGGTTTGTCTCGGTACTACCCCTAACCCTTAGCTCAACACATATGCCCTCCTCTCCTTTGAAAGTACATACAATGAAGATCCCCCCCCCCCTTAAGCTAAGAGCTAACACAGCTAGGCGCTACTGTTGATGTTGACATCCGTCATCTCGTATGCTTTGCTATTTACCCCAGTGGCTGATGTTGAAATCGAGGAGCGATCCCTGCTCAAAGTGAACTTTTCAAAGCAGCAGCAACACAGCTCTTTCACATCACAACGGAAATCCTTATCCACTACGCTGTACAGGACAGCGTTGAATGACGCATGAAATAGCAAGATTATAGCAATCATTTGTAGAATATCCCATTTTTTCGTAAATTCATGGTAGTTGTTGCCAAGATCCAGATATCCGAAAAAAATTTGATTTGGTAGGGCCAGAACAGCAAATCCTATAACAATGGCTAGAAGAATCCTGTAAATGAAAATGAAAATGTAATGAGGATGAAATACTATAATATAAAATAATGACACTGACAATGGTAGTAAAAGAAATATAATAAAAGACAATGATCACGGAATAGTGGGATTGTACATTTTCATTCCTCACCACCACCCACGCTTTCTAATTCGCCACCCTTCCCTCCACCGCTGCGCTGCATTCACACCATTCCACAGCAACCAATCCGACACCACTATAGCCTCTTTTAAATGTATAAAACTTTATTCCCTTTACTTTTGCTCTGATAAAGCCCCGCATACCGGGGTGAAATATTAGCCTTCACTGATTTACGTGTATTTGTTGTTGTTCATTCTCGTCGCATTGCGGTGTTTCTCATTTGCTACATTTTTATCTACATAAAGCCAGGGATATCATTGCAAGTTATAGCATTATTTTTTGGAAGAAGGAGGTCTCTAATTATCTGTGAGTCTGTAATAAAAGAGAGCACCAAAGTTACACTTCTTTGAATAAATTTAGACGAAATATTAAGTTTTCAATCTTATGTTGTTAGCCTCTGCAACAAGCCAGACAAAAACTTACAGCTCTAAATCGTATATCAATGTTCATGGATGCACCTCAACTAGCTCTAAAAACGAACTCATTCATTATGTCTCATTTTAGTTATGGTCTATTTGTATGGATAATCCATGGTAGAAAAATAAATGATTAGCACCTCCAATTTTGATCAGTTATTAGCTAAAACAAAATCAGTGTCTATTCATCATATAAATTTACAGCTCCCTGATCGAGATATATGAAACTGTCAATAATTTGGATCCACCATCAACTGTAGATGTTTGATTTTTATACTAGAAACCTAAAATATAAAATTTTGAGAAAACAGTGACATTTTTTTTCTGTGCAAGAGCAACATTATATGGCAAAGAGACCTTTAGATTTATTGGCATAAAATATGACAAAAGCTACCTAATGAAATTAATGAGTCCCAATCACAACATATTTTTTAACAAATCATGAAATTTTTAGAGAAATTTGAGTGCAGCTGTAGATTGTGTAAAACATTTATTGTACATTAAGGCTTATATGAATAATTGTTTTTAATATTCATTGTAAATAGTTGGCTCAAATTAGCTTGATGCTATATCTCGTTGCCAACTTTAAATAAATTAATAATTATTATTTATAATATCTATCATGTAAAGAAATTCTTTACGTTTTCAGCAAAATTAATGGACTGAGTTAAGTTATGAGATGTAGAGAGGGATTGTGTATGTGGAGAGGGGGTTGTGTGATAGCTCTGTTATCTGGGGACTACGATTTAATCTGTTATAGATTACTGTACCTCAAATTGTAATATTCTATTTGTTAAAGCAAATGAATCAAGTGCTCTGCGAGTGCTATAGTCCATATTTTAAGAAAATCTAATTCAGAATTCGCAAGAATGGTGATCTCAGATTTGAATCCTTTATAAAGACTTCCTGATAAATGACCTTTTGTAGTAATGACGGTTTGAGGCTAGAACAAATTTTTGAGAGCATATATCCAAATTCAGACATTGCATCATTCTAATGCATCAGAATTGCGAAAAAGCTCTAGATATATGCAAACGGTTTTAAAGCCTTTAAAAATATGATTTTGAGTAGAAATTTTCAAATCTTTTGAATCAGACACTTGACACAATGTTGATTAGAATAGAATCTCAAATGATCTATTATACTTTTTACCTTTACGCTGTCTCATACAGAAAACTTTTGCAAAATCTATATTGCTAGAACAATTTTCAAACGTTGTCACCGCATTGGCCTATTTTGTCTAATTCTTTAATTGCTACACGAGTAAAGGATCTTTTTCAAATTGTGAATAAAAATAGTACCTCACTGATTTTTTCTGCTCATTGTCACGCTCTTGCATGTTTTGTGTTTGTAAGCCGAGCATCTGTCGACTTTTGATCACCGCTATGACTTTATAATTGCAGAAGCCAATGATACACAACGGCAACACGTATTCCATGAGAAGAAGGAAAACAGCATTGGCACGGATTTGTGTTAAATTCATTTTTTTATAGCAGTGAATGTCACCATCTCTTGTGTCCAATGAAATAGTTTCTGGAATGTACACGGCAAAAGAAACGACCCAGACGATCAATAGGCTGACACAGATTCTCCTTTTTGACCATTTTCTAACGCTAAAATCGTGTGATATGGACTTGAACCTGAGAGAAAAAGCTGCATATCTTAATAAAGTATTGCCTAAATCAAGGAAATGGCACTCGAAAAACATCTAAATGGAAAAGGGGGAAATGTTAAAGGTATATCACTTGTATGAACATAAGTTCGTGAAACATAGCAATTTTGAACTAAATCTCTGAATTTTTCGGGAGATGAATCATGCCCGTCTTGCAGACATGCACTAGCCCCAGTTTCAGGGTCATTGCACTTGCGCATTATCACTTGAAGCCTTAGCAGGAAATTCAAGAATTGTGTGGTCGCAGATAGAACAGCTGTGCGAATACTGTTATTAATGCGCATGTGCTATGACCCCGCAACACTGATTGGTTTAAGAGACGGCATTGTTTCGAAACCAAGGACTGATAGTTTCGTCTCCCGAACAATGAAGAAAAAACAGGTATGATTTAAGAAACAAAGAAAATGTATAGTTACCAACATTTAGTACAACCGTATATTGAACTTATACAATAATTTTTATTGGTCAGGAAATATGGGATAAATTTGCCAAATGATACGAAAATGAAAAGTCATTTCCAGCTTTCACAAAAAGTGAAATTAGAAAACCTTCCCCCTGCCATTGCAGATTATGTAAAAATTATGTCGCTGGTGTGGGATGTTTATAGGGGTCTTATAAAGTATTATTTAATAGAGTTTTTGTAGTATTTATAGTATGGCAGACATCAGCCTGTTTATTGAACTTGATAACTATCACTAGCTATGCATCAGCCAACTATATCGGAAATGCACAAAACATACATAGTAGTTTACTGTTTGTAACACAACATTGCAAAATTCTATTGTCAATAGGAGTTTCTGTTATTCTATGAAGCAAACAACAATTGCTTTAATATACAAAGGACCATTTGTGCTTCACCTCATCAAAGGTCAGATCAGCGGTTCATCTGTTCTCTGTTCTTCTCCACGCTTATAAGAACACTTGGCTCCCGTTTCAGCCTGGCATTTCTTATTTTTTCGCATAAATTCAACCTAACGGGTTTCTTATTTTTCAATAGAATTTCCTTTGCGAATTGGTGTCCGGACATTGCTAGCATAAGGCTGTTTTGCTTGTAGCTTACTGCTTTTCTGTTACCATTCTTTCATTCTTCAATTTTTGCTGGTATTTCATTTCTTGAGTTTTTTCGAATTGGAATTCCCTTGTTTCTAACGGTGTCCATTTTTTTGGGACTATCTCAGCCTGATGTTCCTTATAAAGGTTGTTCTCATGAAAAGGCGTGTAGCTATCTATTAAATGCCAGGGGTAATAAAAATTTAAACATGCCAACTACTTCTGAACTAACCGATGAAAAAATATAACTTCCTTTATTGAATCTTAAAAAAAACAGTTTAAAAAACCCAACAATTCGCCCAACATTATTCTTTTTTGTTGGAATGTGATCCAACATTGGTGATCAAACGATCCAACGTTTCACTCAACATTTTCACGCACAGATCGAAAAAGGAATGGGTCGAAAGTTGCGCTAAAGGCTGCACAGTTTTGCGACATTTCGATCCAAAAACGAAAGGCAACCACCACCTTCTGTATTTTTTTTCTCTTCAGATAGGTCTGCCTCTTATTATTTACAGTATGTATATCGAATTATGTACTTGCAATGCAACGGATTTCTTACATTTATGATTACATACAAAAAGCACAATTCACCCGCTAAGACCCTGTAATATATTTTATTTTAAATGATTCGATGACTCACCTCTCTATGGCGATAACAACAACAGTTCCAATTGATGCCATGTAAGGTGCTTGTCTTAAAAGTCTTTTGAAGGTACACATTGGCAAACGATCATGCATTTCAGCTTCATAGAGTTCGTTTGGAATAAGAACGAAGATGTTGCATGAATACAGAAAATCTACCAATGCCAGATGGGCTATTAGCAGTTTGAATGCTCCAACGTTGACCTTTTTGTATATCTTCTTTAACGTTACTAGGACAACACAGCTATTGCCAATCAAACTTAACAAGAAACTGATTATGTAGAGGATGATTCTTGCTTTGGCGAATGATGTGATTGGCAATGGTCCCTCACAGTCTTCGTGCATTGACATGTTCCCCGTGCAGTTGACATCGTAGTCAAAAAACAAGTCTCCTTCATCCTCCATTGCAAAGTACTGTCTTTATGATTGACTGCTGAAAAAATACGTTAATAAAACCTTTACTAATAACAACCACTATATACTGATAATGACTTTGATAATGAAATTGATGGCAATGATATGTTGGTTATAATAATGATTGGGTTTTGATAATATGGTGATAAAAATTGACGATGATAATAACGAGCCAGTAGTGTTTAGGCAGCTACGTCGATACTCGGAGCATATCATTTTAATTGTGGCCAAGAGATATCTTTAATTTCAGAAATCAACAAATCTGCAACATAAATTGGCTTAGATATCACCAGTGAAAGTTCCAAAGTCTACATAGAGTTAATGATGTTTTTGCTTCATTCATGGATTTTCGATCCAAGAGTAACAAGCAGCGATTTCATCGTTGAGGAGTTTTACTCATTAAACCCCAAAAAACACATGTCAGGGTATAGGGCAAAAAACGCCAAAAACAGGGTTTTCGTGAATAACTCAAAAACGAAAATGGGTCTCGAAACGGGGTTTGCGGGAGGTCATAGAGCTAGTGGGGGCGCACCTTTTGCAAAAAACGACATTCGGATTGGGCGTGGCACTTACGTCACAGTGACGTCAGAAGAGGCGATTTTGGCACTTTTTGACCGATTTTCAAACTAATGGGGCAAAAAAGTGACAAGAGGTACATACGCCCAAACCGGCTCAAACTATGCCAAATTTAGTGTGGTGATGGAGGACTTTGGTTTCCACGGGGGTACCACCTTTCTGTTCCGAGGGCACAAACCGAGTGGCACTGGTGCCGAAAAGTGCCAAAAATACACTCTGGACCGTGACTTTTGAACCAAAAACGGGACAATGGAAAGGCTGCCTTCGTTACAGCTCAGACAGTTCAGATTATACTGTAGACTTCGAGGCGTATATCACTCTAACAAAACAGCGTACCAGGTATTATAAAACAATAGCAATTTCATGGATTTTGGGGTATTTTTTTAAAATACAAAAGGGTTTTTGTCAAAGACGTAACGAATTGTTTCTTCACAGGACAGTTCCTTTGATCTTTCAGATAACGTGATCAAGATTTGAAGGTTCAAAAAATTATAATGGCTTGATCAATCTACCTGTCTTTATCAGTATATAACTTAGAAACGTGAACGAGAAGTCTGCTCTCGACAGGTGAACAATACCTTCTTATTTATTTTTCACAAAATTTGGCCTAATTATCCTGTTGGTTAAGCCATTAATTCTGTGGTCAGGGACACGTGAACGTTATGGAGAGAGCTAGACCGCAGTCAACACCATTTATCCTTTTAAAAAGCCTTTGTTTTTCATCTCTGCTGCACAATGTTAGATTAAGGACCATCTTTAAAGGATCCGGTTTGTAATATAAACGCCTTGAAAACATTGAAGATAAGACGTGGATCGAAATCGACAAAAAAGACCCTTGTTGACATCCTTTTTCATAAGTGGAACCTTTCTGATCCCTTCTGCTCCAAAACTGATTCTTTTGTTACCCTTTTTCATGCCGTAAACAGGGTTTTTCAATTCTTCTTTCAACTTTACCATCAACCAAAAACAAAGGTGAATAATGCAATGGTAATATTTAAGGGTTATGATTTTTCTTTCCCTAATGCTTATTCTTTATAATGCTTCTACCTTTGCTTATACATTAGACTCCCGTTATAGTGACACCAAAATTTGCAAAATTGGGAGGCTGTAGCAGTAAGCGGAGAGTGACTGTTTACAGAGCTAAATAGAACAGTTCAGCGTATAGTTGATTTTGGCAATTTTGCACATTCTTATTGAGGAGCACAAAAATGGCACTAAGTAATAATACCTAGATGATTTGCCTCAAATAATGGCAACAATTTATTAGAATGAGCGACACGTAACGTTTGCAGTAGGGTACCACGTACCCTACCCAAGCTATTTGTTACATACCACAAAGTGCCAATAGCCAGATTTGCCAAATAATGGCACAATATTTCAACCTTCAACTTGAGCAAGTTTTGCAAATTTCATTTGAACACATTTGCATAGTTTATGCTAAAATAGTCGTTGACCATTTGATTTTTGAAAATTCCTTGCTGGAAACTAAGCATTTCGCTACATAGAGGCAATATAATTTTAATATCGATCATGCTTGCACAGCAGATACAGACACGCGATTCTACAGCCCACTATTCCCCCGAGAAAACATTTTTCCACAGACATTTACTTGAAGCTTTTTTCCCATTTTATCCACATACGAACTTTTCAAGGCAACACAGCTGATTATCATTTTGTTGCAATTCTGTCCCTAAACTGCTAACTAACTCCAGAAATTAGTTTGTGTCGATGTTTTTCCAGCGTAGGTCTATGTTGTTTCGAAGCCCGCAAGACACAATGCCATTACCTTAAAAAGCACGCATTCCTAGCAATACCTTCCTTTGTTGCAAGTCTGTCAAGTCTTCTCGAGTAGATTAATGTATGTCAGTCAGGTTCACTCAATTTACTCAAGACGAGAATTTTTCAATTTTTCCCTGCTTTATTATCAACCTTGACATGCAGGTGGTAAGATGTATCCAAAGGAACTACCGGCATATTCCTGATGATGTCCTCAAAACACACACAGTGTCCTCCCCAATCTCTTCTTTGGCTTGCTCTGCAGGATACGCGGTCTTTGTATCTGCTTGTTTGTGATCCGAGCTCATTTTTGCAGGGCAGTTGCTACCAATCATGCTCAAAGAAAAGGGGGTCCAGATTCCATTTAGTAAATGGGTGGGAAACGGACCACGTTTAGTCATCGTCGCCTCTAGGTCGCAAAAATTGGGACAGGAATCAGCACCTCTAGATGGCAAAATTGCTACGTTCTTGAAGCAGATTTTTTGTTAAGAGGGAGTACCATTATTTTAAAAAGGGGATTAAAAGAGAAAGCTCCTATATTAACCCCTACTTCTTCTCTCATTAATTTTCCAAAGTTCCTTGTAACTTAGTCTACAATTCGTGTTCTATAATTACTCTAGGCAGTGCTTGTGTCAAGTCACAACATCCTTGGAATATCTCAGTTGGATTTGTTCTATTAGGGTGTCACAGGTCACCCCAATCAACATTTCTATGTACTGATTAAGCCCCCCACATAGCCCCATAGGCATAATCTTGTCACAGGCAAGTTGATTGAGAAAGGTCTTATCCCCTTCGCCGTTGTTTTCTTTATTAATAGAAATTGATGTGCTTCTAATAATTGCAGTTATATCTAGAATATTGGAGCTTCGTACCATCTAGAGAAAGATTTATGTTATTGGCTTCCATTCTAGATCTAGCTACAATTATCTAAACCCCAGGACAGACAAAGTTCAATTCAATGTGGAATATGAAACATTGACCCTTCAATAGCAGATTCCCGTTTACAAGAGCAGCTTCAAACTATCTAATGTCCACGTCAGTTGAGATAAACGTAATTTGACAGTATACAATAAAATACACTGCAGTCATAAGTAGATCAGGCTTGATCAAGCATTTACAAGGTCGTGGAGAATTCTTCACACAAAGAGCCAGCGCTGGTTCTTGAATATAGCTTTTGACATCAATTGACAAGGGGTAGCTCAAGATTAATACTGGAAATATTTTTGCGAAAAAAGTAAACCATTTTATTATAACGTCATTTTATTAACGCTCCAAGAAGATCTTTGATAGAGTAGCCTATGATAGAGACTCTCCATTACTAATAGCATATTTTTGGCTAATATACTCCTTTTTGTTATATTAAAAAGGCGAAGTTTAACCCAATCTCAAAAAGTTCCCAGGAGGCTGGAGCCCCAAAGCCTCTATCTACGTAGCTGGCACCACACCAAATGTCCAAGCTGGCACTTGGCAAAATGGACGTAGCTGGCACTTCATGATTCGGGCAACATGTTGTCAATTGTTTGTTTTAAATTAGAATCAAATTGGTTGACGCTTTATTTTAATACACAGATATTTTTTCTAAGAATCAAATAGCATATGCATTTACTCACATGTCTTTCTTGAACTTCAGCTGGATAACGAACAGCAGAGTGACACTCGTATTCATGGACGGGAATAAATATTATAGAAATAGCAACAGGAAACCATAAAACCAGCCTATCACCGGAGAGAAACCCGGAAGTGTTGCCAAAGAAGGAAGTATTACTGCCCTAACAAGATATTTAGTAGTTGTTTCGATTGCGGACGTTGGTTCGTACTTTCGAGTTTGGCTGACTTGTCAGGAAATACGTCATCTCCTTGGGTTGGGTACTCTTAATAGGCAGGCCATTCCTCTCAACCATCAACCGCATTGCCTAACCTTTGTTTTCTCGGCTGATTATAGAATTATATGGTATAACGAATAATTTAAGCCCTTACAACATTTTCAAAAATTCATCAAAGTCACGTTACCGATGACGTCAAAAAAACTATGTTTCCTTTACCCAAAATTGTTGTAACTTCTTGAGTATACGTCTGACTTCGATATAAACGCTAGATTCGGGCTCGCTTGAAGGAAAGCTTTCCAATGATATATACACATCACTATTTTAACGATGTCAGCAATTTTCAATGATGACGTCATCACTTTCAAAATGGCCGTCGAACAGTACATTTTAAGACAAAGCTCTGATCTAATCAAACGCATTTCTGGATCGTTTTGTGGCAATGTTTTGTCAGGTAGTTATTCTGAATCACTTAATTTAACGTTTCAAGGTACATATATATTCGCCTCAAATCCATTTACCGCCAGAACCTGAAGAACTGATGCCATAAACTTCCCATTCGCTCTCCAGTTCATCAGAAAGTTCAGGGATACTTAGGTCAGAGTCTGCCTGGTCTGTTGTTTCCTTGTATTCGTTACTAGCACTGATTTCGTCGACACTACGGGCCTATTTTGGTACCCCTGTACATCTTTTGCATTTCTTTGGAGCAGGGAGATTTTCACTGCCACTTTCGACATCTGCCCCAACGCTTTCTGAAAGTCTGTTCTTGTTTTTCCGTCTTGACTTCAAAGAAGGAGGCAGCAGGGGACACGTGAAGCAAAAAGATTTCAAGGAAGACTCTTCAGAAGAACATTTCCAGCCACATCTTTCGAAAGAAAGTATTGACGGATGGCTCTATGCAACGCAACCGGCAGTAGGTTTCCCTGCGCGCTCTCAGAATGGCTATCTTCTAGGAATGTGAATCAGGAAGTAGTTTAATGTTAGTTTCATTTTGTTGTACATTTTTAGTCTTGTTTCCACATAGCTTCTCTTGACTTTACCAGAATACATTACCATTTGAACAAACTTCTGAAAATCTTTTATATCGCTATCACTAACCACTTTTTCTTCTCCAAGGCTGTCAAGCAGTTCAAGGTATCGCGGGCTCTTCATGACTGTCTTCAGCAACCTTACCTTTCCTACGTTGCGGAAATAGGATTTAGAATTACACCCAGATAAAGCATTTAAAGCCTGTAGATTGAGGCAAAGATCTCTTCCGAAATGGGAACCATTTGCGTTTAACATCGAGAAAAGCAAAAGCCCAATGTGTCTTCCTTCAAAAATCATTCTTATAAAATCAATTTGCTTCTAATTTCGATACAGGAGCTCGTGGCATTTATATCCTTGCAACATGTTTTGGTAATACACTTCTAAATGACCTCTTGCCCAGGTTCACCAGCTTATACCCAGCTTCAGGAGCAACAAATTTGATAAGGCTGTGCATCCGTGCTCGGTACGTTGGCATCGGTTTGATGGAGCGAACTGCTACCACTCCGTCTACTATCCAAACGGCAGACTTAGGAGGTATGTCTTTGATCCATTGCCAATCTTCGAGCAAGAGTCGTTGCAAAGTTACTTTGTTTGACTGACACAAAGTTAAACCAGCTGTAGCGATAGCAATTGAAAGAGGAATGGTTGTAATGGGATGAGTAAACACCTCTTGCAGACTTCCTGCCTCCTCCTTCCTTCCAAAATGAATAGTTAAAGGCCTGTTTTGTGTTCCTTGACCACGGTAATTGCTGCAGCTTTTCCAGATCTGTCTTCAGCTTTGTTTTCTTGATCGGCGTGAAGCATTAAACGCTGCCATTAATTAGGCGATCATTTGTGAAGCGATGCATATTCTCTTCTCCTATGATCGACGCTGCAAGGAGGTCAGTAGAACTTTATTGATCTAATTCTTCGCCAGTTGAAGTCGACTTTGCAGGAGCAACAGAAAACCGATTTGTGTCATAGCTTCGAAGAATTCCCCAAGGCTATCATTATGCTTCTGAAGGAGCTTTGTCCCACCTGGAATGCTGTACTTGTGAATTAATGATGACTTTGCGAAAAAGCATTGCTTCAGAGCGTCTCTAAACTTGCTATGAGTGTGAGACGTAGCAATCCAAGTGTTAACCGCATTAAAGTTTGCTGAAGTCCCTGTATGGACCTGCAGGCCCTTAAGCTTCTTGGTTAAATAGTATCCCTTTAGCTCTGTATGTAAATCGCAATGAATTGCAGAGAATTTGTTTTGAAATTTCCAAGTGCAATGGAGAAGCAGATGTTGGTATGTACAGTAGCGGGCATAGTTGATGTGATTCAATGTAAATGTAAGCAGAATCATATTTCGCACTGCTTGCAAAAGTAGCTTAGTGTTGCTTTTCTGCACAGCTGCTACCATGCTCAACAAAGCAGACACTTTTCAGTTTTTTGACGATTTTCAAGTGTCAACAGTTTTTTGCATCAATCTGACCTGACTATACAAGCAACCCATCAGCACCTTGACCTGACTATACAAGTCAACATTCGTTCACATAATTTTGTTTATCTTTGCCTCCCTCATTTCATCCGCATGAACAAAAACATGAAATATGTCAAGAACAAACCTAAGAAAGAATCAAGGTATTCCTTGCATACTGGATAGACAGGCATCTTATGAGTGATTGGCAAGTTATTTAGCCCTGTCAGGGATATTAAACAAAGGCTTTAAAGTAATAAACCATATAATAATTGTTTCCTCCTGCCTCCTGGCAATGCCAATAATATAAGCCCTTGGCCTTTGTGCAAAGCTCGATTTTGTACCGACGGCTTCAGATCCGGTCTTCGGAAACAATTATTTTAGGTTTAATCAGTAAAATTAAAATAATACTAACGAAAAACTATGGATGGCGAAAGAACAGCTTCTTCTCCGTTATAAGAAAGTGTCAAGCAAAATCATGCATGATGTCAAATTGCGATAATGCCAAATTGTGCCTAGCAAAATTAGAGTCAGCTCGCTGGTCGACGGCCATTTTGAAAATGATGACGTCATAATTGAAAATTACTGACATCGTTAAAAAAGTGATTTGTATATATCATTGGAAAGCTTTCTTTCAGGCGAGCCCGAATCTAGTGGCTATATTGAAGTCAGACGTATACTTAAGAAGTTACAATGATTTTCAGTCTAGGAAACAGAACATTTTTGACGTCATCGGTAACGTGACTTAGATGAATTTTTGAAAATGTTGTAAGGGCTTAAATTATTCGTTATACCATATAGTTCCATAATCAGCCGAGAAAACAAAGGTTAGGCAATGCGGTCGATGGTTGAGAGGAATGCCCTGCCTATAACCAAGTGGATCAAAACAAAAGATGTATCTGAGCCACTGATACATTCACGCCTTGGTGTCAAAAATAGGAGGTCTTGAGTCAGTTACCCCTATATAGGAAACGTCCAAGGGAAGTCACTCAAACTTTTTATATACGTGGAGGTCTATCAGCAATTATCAAAATCCACCTAATAGTATCCAAAAAAATCTAACAGACCAAAAATTGTCAGCTAAAAAGTGTTGATAAGATCCTAAAATATTAAAATACCGCACCTTGTTGTTGAGCACATAAGATACCATGTACAAAATCTAATAAAATATGACAGGTTAGATACTTTATACAAATTGAAGAATGGACTCTCTACCCAGAGAGCCTCAAAAATAAATTCACTCCCAGGTCGAATATTTCGAAATATAACACAAGAAAAATTGATGATTTCGAAATTCCTCGGCTTCGTCTTGAATACATCTTTTGGATACCAGGGAGCAAATACCTGGAACGAGATCCCAAAACAAATACGAGATTCGGCCTCATTGAGCTCCTTTAAAGATTAAAGGATTAAAGGATATAAAGATTAAGATTAAAGGAGTTCTTGAGGTAGAGCGACGCAAACACGACCCCTTGGAAGAGCAGCTTTAGTTATTTTTTTAGTTAATTTGTTAAAAAGCTGATAGGATATCGTGTTTAAATAACAGTAAATAAATAAATAAATAAATAAATAAATAAATAAACCACTAGTCATAGTAATTTAGACTGTTCCCTATAACAAGTAGTTTAAACACATTTTGTCTTTTATTTCTGTTTTTTGCTATTGTTATATGGTAATTGAGCTCATAAGAATCGAAAAGGTATATTGTTGGTATGTTGGTAAAAAATTGTTAGATCAGGTACCCAGAAAAACCAAATTACAAGTGTAGTGTATTAGGCATAAACTTTTATGTTTCACTAGCCTTATATGTCGATACAAAATATCAGTACTCGTTAAATTTATTGATTCATTTTAAAATTCTTGCTTATAACATTAGATTCTTGTCTTCGAATTGCTTTGTTCCTGACTCTCTTTCGCATTACTATTCAGTGCAAAACTTTTCGTGGTATCATTGTTGTGTATACAGTATTCTCCCCAATTAATCGACACTCTAAAAGGCGGACACCTCTGATTAGCGGACAAATTTTTTTCCCCGATCTTTTTCTGGTCAAAGTCTCATAACTTTCTAAAAAGCGGACACTTGATTAGCGGACACTCTCATTGACGGACAGTATATTTTGCACAAAATAGTCAATTTGGCTTTCTTTCCTTTCCAATTAGCGGACAGTTCAAAAAAGGTAGGAGCCAGCGAACAAAAAACTGAGACGATGAATATTTGTTAAAAGATTTACTTCAAACACTTTGACACTTGACAATCTAGTTGGCTTTTTACAGCTTCGAGCTTCTTCACGGACCAGTTTACTAACTTTTCTTGTCCATGAAAGTGGTAAACTATTGGAATCTCCAGACCATAGCCACCTCCACGATTCAACCTCTTTCCAATGTTGTAAAAAAAGTTGTGTTACGTTCACTTTGGTTATTTTTTCTTTTTTAGTGTCTAAGTTGAACCCAATAGCAACTGATTACCCAGATTACACCCAGAGGTAGCGCCAGAAATCTTCCGACAGAGGGGTTTGAGCTTCCGACAAGAGGGCTGAAATGACTAAAATATGCAATTTTTGTACGTTACTTAGTCAAA